GCACTTACCAGCACATTCTGGAAATTTATCTCTGATTGAAGAGATGACAAGAGACCCGTGTTCTATTAACAAATCCCAGTTCTCCCAGAGACCAAACCCTCTGCCCACGAAATCCTCCAAGGCTCAACAGCAATGTTACAGAAATCAACACTAGCATGCAGGGTGAGTGCTGACCAAGAGGGACGTTAGGGGCTTAAAAAGAACTGAGCTCAAATTTCAGAGCCAGAAAAGATAAATTTGAACCAAAAATAAGTATTTCCCAAACTCCAGGATATGACAAACTCATGACAGCTCCTCAGTAGTAATAGACACATAAAAATCACTAGGCCAATCTAATTCATCTGATCACAATCATATCAGCTACAAACCCTTTTTCTGTTCCCTGTGTACTTATTTCCAGGACCAGATACTCATGGTCTCACGACAACCTTCCAAGTGTATAGTGGATCCACTTCCCAGTGTTGCTGTTCTGTTTGGGATTATTTAGGCAGCAGAACTGTACCCTTCTTCCCCTGCCTACGTTCTCCCCATCATCCAACTGCTTTCTTTTATCCATCTGTGCGCAGGCTGACACTCTTAACTACTGAGCCACACCGGCTGGGGCTCTTTCTTTTATCCAGAATTGCATAAGAAAATAAACATTTCAGTTCCTTCTGGCCACAGACCCTTGAATCTCTTTCTCATCACTTCTCCAGATTAGAGACTTGGAGGGGAGACAAGAAAGAAAAACATTTTTGTTCAATTAATTTCCATTTGATTCAAGTCTGAGTAAACTCTGGGCACAGAGCAACCAGGATGATATGATTATGGAAACTATTAATCTCTCCATCAAAGGACAGCCAACTCATGGTTACGGAGCAGTAGGCACGTTCCTCCAAAGGGCTTCCGCAGCATGATCCTCCAGGTTTCCTTTGGGGTCATAAGTACTCAGGGTACAACCTGGGGCAATTTCTAAAAGATAAAATAATCCTTGAGTTGCTTTGTGAGTTGTTCTAGAAAACTGTTTTTTCTACAATTGCTCTAAAGAAAATAGCCAACCCACATTAAAACATGTCCAAATAGAATGGGAGAGAAAAATCTTAAGATTTTCAGATGACTCAAGCCTCATCTAAAAAGGTAAAATTTGGATCTTTAAAGATCAAAGATTACTTGAAGTGGGCAACAAGCAAAAGGGTGCATTCAGAGCAAGAAGTCTCCAAATGGCTTATTACACGCCCCCTTCCCAAACTGCTTTAAATACTGAATACTATAGTCATAAAAATTGAAATAACTTCTAGAAGTTACTTAGAACAAACAAGACAGTTGCCTGATTTGTCCAATCCTAAAACACACAGAAAAAGAAATTAGATGATTCAATTTAGGCAGTTTGTTCCAGGGTCCACATCAGCAGATTTCTTTTTCCATCAATGGTGACAGAGTACAGGCCTCTCCGTGATAGAGAAGTTAAAGGACTTAAGTTTCCTCCAGAAGTGCTCGCTCCTGGGTACATGTAGGAAAAGTCCAACATCAAATGCATTTGGAAGAAAGCACTCATGGATTTACAAGTGCCACCAGCCTCCCCAAACACAGTCCCAAGGGAAGAGTGAATTTCCAGAGATGCCAAATGACATGGGGTCAACAGGCACCATTCAAAGCAAAACTACCTGCTCCCATGTTGATTAAGTGACTTATAATAAAGCTATATATACATAGTCTCTTGAATTGTGGACTGTGATAAATACACCCCCCCCACCCACCTGCCCACCTTCCTTTCAGTGCACACACTCCTTCCTGGAAGCGAGCTCATACTCCAGGAAGGCAAGCGCCCCCAGGACAACACACAAAGCCCTTTCATCCTTTCCTCCCACAATCCGTTGTCAGAGTTCGCATGTCCAAAGGCCTGACGTCAGTTTTATGAACTGTTCTCCAAAACATCTCAATTTCTAATGTAATCATATAAACCCTGATTTGTAAGGAGGCAAACTCATAAAAGTCATTATGAACAGATCCCATGATGTCAAAGGAAAAAACAGCTAGAGTTTAATAAGCAGCCTTCTTTTATTACAATAGGCTTGATGTCATTATTTATTATTTCCAACACTAAAACACAAAGCCATGTGCTACACTGTGAAGCAGTATGAAAAGGGTATGTGGACTTTGCTGAGTTTAATATCCTCTTATTGACAATAGATAGAAGATCTGAACAAGGACTGGGAACAGGAAATCATTTTAGCGATTTCATTACAGTAATAGAGAAAAGCATTTCCAATGACAGGGATTGACAGATGGCCTGGTAAGACTTCACTTCTAAACAGCCTGCAGAGCAACAAGCCCAATATTGATATAAGCTCAGTATATAATTAACAAGGCGTCCTAGTGAGCAGAAAAGTTTTCATAAATATATGCTGTAGCCTTAGCAGTGGAACATAGAAAGCTGGTGTTTAAAAGTTAATTTAAAACCACTTCACAAGGAAAGGTATTTAGAGGCAGCAAGAGGTATACAGTAAGACTGTAGCTAAAGAGCTCTAAAGTTCTAAGTAAAAATCGTATTTGCAATGAAGTATCATGTATGGTATATCTTTACTTAATTTATCCCTAATAAAAAAATAAATGTAGTTGCAGAATTTTCAGATTTTTGAGACTTTTCAAATCTCATTCCAGAAAACCTAAAATGCTTTGTAATGTACAGGGTAGGACAAAAGCAGGTTTGCAGTTGTGAGCATACAGATCTATTCTTCTATTATTTTAGGATTGCTTTTTTTCTATTTCTATTTTCTAAATGCCCTTGGGATTTTGCTAGGAATTGTATTGAATCTGTAGATTGCTTTGGGTAATATTAATATTTTAATAATATTAATTCTTCCAATTCATGATCTTGGGATGTCTTTCCATTTATTTGTGTCTCTCTTAAGTTCTTTTGTCAGTGTTTTACAGTTTTTAGTGTATAAGTCTTTCACCTCCTTGGTTAAGCTTATTTGTAAGTATTTCATTTTTTTAAAAGCTATTATAAATGGGATTGTTTTAAAACAGGCATAGACCAATGGAACAGGACAGAGAGCCCAGAAATAAATGCAAACATAGTCAACTGATCATCAACAAAGGTGCCAAGAATACACCACAGGAAAGGATAGTCTCTTCAATAAATGGTGTTGGACAACACTGAATATCCAAAGGCAAAAGGCTGAAACTGGACCTTACCTTACCCCACACATAAAATTCACGCAAGCTGAATAAAAAGTAAGCTCCAAGAACTCAGAGAAAAAACTTCTTGACACTGGTCGTGGCAATCACTTCTTAGATATGTACCAAAAGCACAGGCAACAAAAGCTTTAGGTCTGGTGTGATCCTCAGGATTACACAGGCCCAGGCTCTTGTAGGTTTGGCTAGCCCAATGGATAAACACTGGACGTAGGTGAGCTCTAATAATCTGTCCACTCTAAAACTCTATGATTCTGCTTCTCTCCCTCAGTCTCCTCTACCCACAAAATACACCATTGAAGATCACCAATACAAACGTTTGTTAGTAAAAGTACCCCACTACGGTGCTAAAACATTTATAACCTCATATCTGGTTAGTAGTCACCAACATTCCTCATGACAAAAGTCTCCTTGTCAAGTCAGCTAAAAACCCTGGAGTAAATATAATTTTCATACAGGTGATTATATACTAATGATAATCTTTCCTATCAAGTATTTGTGTTGGTTTCAACTGTGTTAAATTCCACAGTATTTAATGCTAATACAATAGTTTTGAGTTTTACTTAGATGTAAAAGGAATAAACATCATTCATAATTAAATTTGGGCTTAAAATTGTGTATATCATCACTTGCTTTTGAAAAACATTAATAGGAAACCTCAAACATATATACAAAAATAGAGAGAATAGCATAATGAATCCCCATGTAATCATCCAGCTCCCGCAGTTCCAATTCAAGGTCAATATTGTTTCATCTACTCCTTTAACCCACTTCTTTGCACTCAACTGACTATTTGAAGTAAATCCAAAATAGTATACCATTTCACTATAAATATATGACTTATTAACGGTTCTGCACTGGATCTCACACTGGCTATAAAAAGAAAAATTGGTATGCACTAATTCAAGAGGTGTGTTTACCTATGTTCTCTTTCTTAAAACTTCTGCCAAGAGCAGAGAGGAGATTGGAGCTGCAAAGTGGAAAAAGAGAACATATGTTCACATAATATACGCAGTTCGGTTCTAAATTAATATGGGCCGATTTCTTTTAAAAAGACTACTGATGAGTTTTTTTAAAAATAGTTAAAACAGGGAAGATAATCTATAATCTCAATATTTCTTTTCTTCAATTTACTCAAACTCACAGTTATCTCAGACACAGCATTACTATAGCCCCGTCCTGCAGAATACAAAGTGGTTCAACATTTCATGCATTTAAGATTTTCTGAACCCTAAACAGAGGTCGTATCTTAATGTCTATGTTTGGCATCCGCATGTGTTTCATCAAAAAAAGCAAATATGCTCAGAGATGGCTTTTAAACTATGTTCCACTTACATGCCAAAGTTATTCGGGGTAACTCATTCAAAGCCAAGGCAATGGAAAAATGTTAGAGTAGAAAAGTCTTTTGATCTAGAAAGTTGGATCAGCCAAGAAAACAATTTAACTATAGCCCATTAACTTAAGGGGTAAAATATCTTTAAGGGGAGGAGCAGCGGAAAACATGTCTTCTGTATTGTCTCAAGTGGTTAAGATACTTAAAAACTCAAACTCAAATTTAATTATAAATAGAATAACACATTCAACAAATACTAACTCATGTCCACTTGTAATTTCTCCCCTCCTCTGCAATAGTATAGGGCAAAGAATGAGTTGCGATTTCACTTGCACAGAAGATTCTAAATTTCATATCTTTGCTTCTGAAGAAAGCACCATTTCAAGTATCACTGTTGATAAACTGTTTTCTTGGCTGATCCAACTTTCTAGATCAAATTTTTTTGGTGAATTCTTCAGATTGTGTAGCATTAAAAAAGTTTTAACATTACTCTTGATTTTAAAAAACTATTTATTATAATGTATAGATTTAGGAAGTTTTCAAACATATCAAACGTGAAAATAAATGGGATTCATTTATTTTAAATAAATAAATCGTAATGTTACAGTAACAACAAATAACAATAGGGGAGGTTGAAAGCAGAAAGGGGAAGCTAACTATAACTTGGACATGCCCAGTCTTCACACAATGCACCCTTTTCTCCTGTCACTTGCTGGCTGTGAAGGGCACTTTTTCCCTCAGATACCCAAGGTCCTTCTAAAAAGGTGTTCTCAGGAAAACAAAATGTGAGATTACTGTGCACTGAGGTAAACATGACTAATAACGTGGAGTATTCTCTTATGGGATTATCTGCATCGTAACCTTAAACTTCTAGAGCTAATAAGAGTGGAATTTTTAGCACCGGCTAACAGGCAGGAGTAATTTCATCAGTGCCTTTGAAATTTCATGTTAAATACAGTCACGTTCAGCTTATGGATAGATTATCACCAAAAACATACAAACAGACATAAAATAAACCTACCAATTAAAGTTTAATCAGTAAGACTCTGACTTTATGGTTCAATTCTTTTCGGCAGGTACACTCACAACAATAAAACTATCTCCAAACTGGAAATTATTTCTCTCTTACCAACAACAGTATCCCTGTATTTTTAGCAAGTCAGTCAAGAAAAGAATACAAAGTGTGAGGCAAGACTAATGCTTTAAAGCCAAAAAGATTCTGCAATAAGCCAGGAAGAGGTAGTACCAAAAGAGAGGTTTAAAAAGCTGGTTTTGTTCTTCATAACTGATATTTTCTTATAAACTATTAAAAATTCCACTTCCAGTAACTGAAATAATGCTTCTGTTAAGTATACTTCTGTTAAATGTGCCTGGTTGATTCTCTGAATATATTTCATTAGGTAACACTATAAAGAATGATAAAGTATGAGAAGGAAATCATGTATATAGCACAGTTTGCAAACAATCAGAAGTTATGAAAGTACTCAGCCTTATTTTTAAAAATCTGAATTCACTCAAATGAATCATTTTCTGAAAACCACTGGAATTATGCTAAAAATAGAAAATTTGACTAATGTATCTTCATCAAAATGTTAGCATTTGTATCTTTATATATACAACACTGAAAAGAATTGAACTGTAACAAAGCTAAAGAACCTCAATGATAAGCTTGTATTTTTGTTTTCTTTACCTAAAGATGACAAATACCACATAACCAATACAAAAAAAGGGGGGAGGAGGTGTTTGATGGTAATGAAACTCCAGGTTCCAATACTAAACAAAAGTGAGATAAGGCTAGGGGAAGGAGAAGGGCATGAGTTAATACCAGACAACTATGTTCTTACATAGGCTTATTTAATACTTCCTATATGTCAATTTCAACTGTCAGTAAAAAAAATAATAATAACAAAGTTTATTTCTTGGGAAGAGGAAATTACAATTCAGTTCTTAAGTCTTAACCTTTAAACTTGGGAAACTTTCTTTTAGGTCACCAGCAAGGGTCTTATCAACTTCATATAGGATTTTGAGAAAGTCTTCCACCTGTGAGTCAAACAAAGAACCAAATAAACGTAAGTAGAGGAAAAGGTGATTTAAGATATTGATTACTGACTATAAAAATGCTCTACCTGTGGTTTCTAAATAGCCCAGTGGAAAAGAAATGATGACATATCCCCAGATGACAATGATAGTACTTCCTGAAACATCAAGAAAGTGACTAGCCCTTACCATTGTTTCACTCTTAAACTAGTATTTACCCACGCGCTGATTCCCTTTTATTCCCATCCTCCTTCCTGCCATTCCATACATCCCACATTCCATACTTCACCTTCCTAAAAAGTTCCTATCATGAAATTGCCTCTAATGAGAGTAAATGTGATGTAATTCGAAGAACCAGAAAAACCTACTGACCATACCTATCTAAGAACCTTATTTTGGTTAATATATATGCTGTCTACTTCATAACAGAAAGGAGTACTATAAATTCAGTGTTGATTCCTTTCTCTTAAAACCTGAACTGTTCCTCAGGCCAGCCCCAAGAATTATCCAGCAGTCACCTATCTGGCAAAGGCATCAAGTTGTGTGAATTGTATGCACTATCTTTTTGGACAATGGTCTTAAAGATCAAGCATTTATTTTAAAACATTTTATTTAGTAATCTTCTGAAACTCAGCTACCTATACATTTACTCATACTCACCACAGGGCTATAGAAAGGAAGGAGGTTTTGAAATGCACAGGAACACTTCTGCTTGCTTAGCTGGCCCTCCTTTAGTCCCTTAGCCACAGTCTCCTAAAATAAAAATAAAAAGACCTAAAGAAAGGAAAATTTCTAAAGCTGTATCTGCTGAATAAATACAAATCCATATGCAATTCCCTATTGATCCTATAGGCATTTCAAATGTCCCAAGTTGAACCCAGTATCATTCCTCCCTGTGTAACCCAAACATGTGCTCCATTGCAGTCCTTAGTTTAATGAAGGGCACCACCACTCAACCACCCTACCATCAAACCAAAAACTTAGGACACAGTCAAGGCTTTTCCTCCTCCTCTGCTGCTGACCTCTCCCCCTCAGTGTTAAATTCTATTAAATCTCTCATCCCACCCCTTTTCTCCACCCATACTTCCATTGTTCAGGCTCTCATTTTTTAGATTATTCTTGAAGATTATAGCCGTAAGAGCCTGTTGATTGGTCTCTGGACCTCCAGCCTCAACTAACTCTAATCTTCTCTCTCTTGCTTTTGGAGTAATCTTTCTAAACAGAGCACATCAATTGATGCTTAAAAAAAAAACATCTTTAGTAGCTCCTCAGTTTCCTCAAGATTAAGTCCAAACTCCATTAAGTATGGCATATAAGAATTTTCATGTCACATCCCTGCTTTAGCCTCAGCCCACTTTCCTCCTATGTTCCTATCACTTAAAAATTAAGAAACATCTATGTCCCTCCCTCCAAAAACACAAAAGGAACAAAAAGCAATGGGGAAAATACTTGCAATGAACATGCGAATGAAGATACAGTGTTACCCAAGGAATTCCATGCAAATAATCAAAATGGATAAATTTTTAAAGCAGGAAACACAACCAATATACAAATATATGGAAAGATATTCAAACTCACTAATAAAAATGCCAATCAAAATAAGGTACAATTTAATCATCTCTTGAATTTTGTTTGATATAAAATTATAATACCCAAAAATAAGGATCAAGTAAAATCAACATTTTCACGTCACAAGCCTTTTGGAAATATGTAGCCATTATGCCTCAGTTATCTTCACATTTATAATGTCGAGCCTAGGAATCTAACTTCTGAAAACCTATGCTAAGATAATCATACCAATCTGGAAAAGGGAAAGACAATTCACCAAAAAAACTAAACAAAAAAAAACACACAAATCACCAGAACAAAACAAACTTGTTTTAAGAAATATTCTTCTTGAAAAAACTTCAATGACTATGAATATACATTCAATAGTTATATCCTTTTTTTCCCCTAAAATATATGAACAGAAAGGATATGCTCAAAGGAAGACTATGCTAATAATCTTGAACATATTCAGGAAGACTATTCCTTAAAACAAATTTACAATCAATTTTAAAAACTGATTTTTTTGCAAATTAGGTATTAAACTGACTCTTAGTTAAAAAGTCTTTCAGTGAATTGATCTAGAGTTAGAAGTGTCTATAATGTAATGTTAAGTGAAAATTGTATATACTGTGTTACATAAATATGTGAAAAATATACATATAAAAATATACCAGTCTACATCATTTGCTGGTTTAAAACTATAAGCTTATGGTGATAAGTTTTTTCTTTCTCTATTTTCCCGAATTTATATAATACAGTTACACTACTTTTATATTTTAAAAAATAATAACAGTAATAATGAAGTTGGGAGCATTAAGCAACCCATACTTTCTTTTGCTGAAGAAACCATTAATACTTCTTTCTTACCTTTGTTAATACCTGAAAAATATTAGAAAGAAATTCACATGAAATATCCTTTAAGATTTTCAAGTGGAAATCATCTTGGGTTAAATCAGACTTTTTAGTTTCTTCTGTACTAGACTCTGCTGCGTTCTCTGGTTTCTTCTGACAATGTTCCATATTTTGTAAGACACGAATCAGGCTGTCAATTAGAGGAAGATCTACTGTAGAAACAAATCAAGAGGTATGAGATTAGCCAGTGAAATTTGGTTATTCACTCATCATTCATTCATTCATACTGAACACCTATTAGTGCCAGAGATGGTACTTTAGGTACTACAGTCATAGGTGCACACAAGACCATCAAGGCCTCACCCTTCAAGAGACTTACATTTTTATACTCTCAAGCAAATGAATTTGAGATATATATATATATATATA